GTGCTTACTTCCTTGCGTACGGATGACAGCTGCGTATGAATTAATTTGTCCCCGGGGGGGGACGTAATTTTCGTGTCCCCTATATTGCTTTTTCCTATACATTCGGAACAAGCTGTAGGGATTTTGTTTCCGGAACAGTGGTCAAAAAAGCACTCAAATAGGCCAAGCTATGGGTAAATCCCCGTTTTGTCCCCGGGGGGGGACGGAAATTTCGTGTCGCCGGCTTCGCTTTTTCCTATACATTGAGTAAGATAAATCGCCAAATTTCGCTGAAAACCCACCTTCCCGACCCCGGATAAAAAATCTGAGACCGGATATCGCATGTACACACCCAGAGCAACCCACAGTTGACTTTTCAGAGCTTAGGCTGTTTGGCAACAACTCCATTCTCAACCTCACTTCGGCATACCCCGGAAGGCCCCACAGGCATGTCTCCTTTTCACTACGCACCACTCAATGATGGATATCTTCAACAGTGCATGGCAAGTGCTTCAAGCATATGTGCATTAAGGGACACCACTTCGCTCACCACCAACCTCGATCACGAACACTTGTTGACTCCCCGCGCACATATTACACGCACTTTCTGTTCGGCAGTGGGTGCTCGTTCAACGCCCATCTGCCACTTGCTCATGTACTCGAAATTCCACCAACGATGGCTGACATGAAATATCCGGTGATTATCTACCTTTTTGCACCATGATGAACGTTAACAGTTACAAGCACAGCACGGGTCCGAGCTGAAAGACATGGAGCGGCGGCTATCCGAGGCACGAGCGGCGTGCCGCGCTGCAGAAAAGAACGCCAAGGAGAACGAGGAGCGGGTGTCGGCCCTGAGGCAGGTGCACTTGCATAGCCTCCGCCTGCTGGAGAGCACGGTAGGGCAGGCCCTGGGGGATGCCGTCGCGTCTGCAAGGCAGATCGGCAGTGGCACCGGCGACCTTGCCTTCGCCGGGGGAGAGTAGATTATCCCTTAGACTGGTTCACGTGTACGTCCGTGCGTGGTTTGACTTGGTTTACGGCGACACAGTTGTTGAATTCCCTGTCACTAATGTGCTCCTTTTCTGGGGGCAATGGAAGAAACCATACGACATATTGTACAGATGTTTTGGACATGGACACACATGTTGGTGTTGTGACCACTGTTCTTGGTGCGGATATGGTGAGGGCAATGGTGGGGAAATACATCTCCTGGGCGAGCAGACTTTCGGTTGTTGGGCTTGCTCCGAGGCGCCAGTACGTTATTCTTGATAGATCTGGCAGTATATCTTGTGCTCGTGGTTGCCTACGTTCTGCGAGGAGGCAGGTTCGAACCTTGGGTCGTGCATGTTGTTTTTTCATCCGCTTTTCTTTCCGTTTTTTTCTGTTTTGCCCCCTCGATTTTCGTCCAAATGGGGACAAAAATCACGTCTGGATGTCAGATAGAGACTAAATCAACCCGGATGACAGAAAAATTTTGCATGGTGTCTATTCTAGGGGTGCTTACCACGATGCCGAAGAAAAAACGGGCAAAAAAACCTTGAAATCTCTTTGCGTGGTGCCCAAAGTAGGCCATTTTTGGCCCAAAAATTGGCAAAAAAACTCGGGGATTTCTTGTTTTTGTCCCCGGGCATGCATGTTTTTTAAAATATTTTTTTCGGAAATGCTTTGTATTACTACCATAGCGATACTTGCCAAAGGAAAAGCTCTGGAAATCATTGGAACGTGCGCAATCACTACGAATTCGAAGTGGTCCTTAATCGGGGCATTTGTGTTTTACCGGTATTTTTCCCTGACAAATGAAGAATACTACGCTGGCACCATGTCATCACCACATGCATTTTTCTTGTTTTTTGTTGTTTCATCATTTGTTTAGGTCGTGTTATAAGCTAACGTTCGATACCTCTCTGTCGCCACAAATTGTCAAGACACCCGAGAACGACCTCTCAGAGCGGGGGCTCCGTTAAGTGGTCCTTAATCGGCACATTTACTCTACATACTTGTAATGGTCTGCATCTGTTCTTCGACGTTGGTTGGTCTGTTCGTTCTACAATAATGGTACGTATGGTTTAAGCATATGAATTTGACGTTGCCATGTTCCAGGTCAATGTTGGTGACCGGCGGACCGATGGGTCGTTCGCACGTTGCAAGTCCTGCCTGTACGAAGTCTTCGCCCTTTTTTGATGGAGACGAGGCATACTCTCTGCAGTGAGCGATAAAAGATCTTCACGTCTTGTGCTGCGTTTCCTTTCCTTCATCGACGACATGCAACTGCTGTTAACATGTTGACGTCTTCGGTATCCGACGGCACAGGCTCGGTTCAACCGTTTCCCTTTCAAGACCCTCAGTTAATACCTTCGAAGCCAGTCGTATGATTGTGTTTCTGGCACAGAAGCAACAAGTGGAACAATAGGCCTTTTGTAGTGCCGCGCACCTCTGCTGTCTCTCTCTCTCCCTCTCCCGCTCTCTGGGCTACGGAAAACTACTGGACTACTTGGACTTTTTACAGGACGCCCAGTAGACGCCCAAAAGTAACTGCCAGCAGGCGGACGCCAAGTTAATTTGTACAGACGCCTTTGTCATTTGCCCGAGGTTGCCTGGATATGTTTTCCGAAGACATGTACGTGAGGTCTTGTAGGAGTGCCCATGGAAGAGATCCATGATATCTACCAGAACAAACAAACCAGAACGCCGGGGCGATAAGTGGGTGGAGATTTTCGGAATTACTGTCTAGCCAGAGTTCCATTGGTGCCGTCGCAGTTCACAAACAAAGCTTAAACTATGACTGCTTTCGTAGGGCTGTTAATAGACATGTTATTAAATCAAACCAACAAAGAACATGTCGTTCAGCCCATAGAAAACTCTTCAAGGCATCCGAAACAACACACATTGCATCTCTCAGCACCACCACAACCAACCGCCAGCCACCCCCCACCGCGCACTGTCCCAAAAACAAACAAGACCCTCTAAAAACACCGGCACCCCATCAAAATACACGCCGTCATCGCCCCCTGCCCAGTGCGGCGGGTACGCCTCTCAGGTCATCGACGCGGGCGTAATGCGTGGTATCTTGCTCTTCCTCGGTAGCTGGGTCTTTCCCCCTCGTGATAAGCACAGCGTCCCAGCCAACCGACCTCGCACCCAGCACATCGGTCCTGAAGGTATCGCCAACGATCACCCCTCTCCCGTCACCGTCCCCGCCGCCGCTCGATCCCGCCCGCTTGAGAGCTTCATGGAACATGTGCGGTTCGGGTTTCTCCGAGCCACACTCCCTGAGAAAAAATCGTTTTTAAACACGAGGCGTTCTGTTTTGTTTTTTTTTGCATAATGACTGCAAAACGCATGCAGCGCGAACTTTGGTGCGCACCGACCGAGACGCAACGACAAAAAATCCACAATAAAGTCGCGCACGGCGTCCATTCAACAGTCACAAAACAACCCTGATGAAACAACACAACACACGTCGAAACAACCGGGGTGTTGAAAACGCGCTATCGTTGCGAGGAAGTGCTTTGTACCTCGATGTGAGCACGAAGTCGAAGGACTCATACACGCCGAGATTCTTAAGGAGCGGATGGAGGCGCTCGTCAAAGTTTGACACCTAATTTAGGACCGAGAGAGGGAGAAGGGCCAGGGTGAGGAAGCAACTTCAGGAGATGTGCACACGGACAGCAGTCGAATTGCCGAGACTTGAACCGCGCCTACGGGATTGCTTAGAGCCGTTTGTGTTGTAACGAAGCTTCGGCAGCATAGCCCGGGGAAGAAGCGAACACGACAAATGCAGCTGCACCAAAATGTCATGATTTTCACGGGAATGTTTAGTATAGTATGTACTATTAGTACTGACCCGAGTATTGAGTAAGTATCTGGCTCTTTTCGCCCAGTAGAGTAATACTCACACTTTAGTACAGCTTTTCATACTCTACTAAGAATACTGTGGCGTTTAGTACAGCTCTTCGTACTAACTAAACCTTTTGTAAGTACGGCTCTTCAATACTCTACTAAACATTTTTTGAGTATAGTACGGCTTTTCATACTCTACTCATACTCACATTTTAGTATGGCTCTTCATACTCTACTCAACATACTCATGCGGTTTAGTACAGCTTTTCATACTCTACTAAACATACTCTTTGGGTTTAGTATGGCTTCCTATACTGTACTATACTTTCACTTTAGTATAGCTTCTCATACTCTACTAAACATACTGTTGCGTTTAGTATGGCTGCCCATACTCTACTCAGGCCATAGTACAGCTCGCCATACTCAACTCAGAGTACGTACTACTCAACGTCAGAGTACGTACTAGTACTACCTTCCACCAAAGGGTGTGTTGGTGACGTCACTATTCAGCAAAAAGTAGACAGTCTCGCCGCACGGAGTGGTGGGCTCCAGGCTCCGATACTCGCGCGCTCGCGTACTCAGGTACTCGGGCATTGAGGTAGTGGCCCGCAGCAGGGGAGATAGTGGCAGCTGAGCATGAGTGACCCGAGCGGTGGTTCGGCCGCATCTGCTCCCGATGCGGGTGGTTCTCCCGACACGAGTACCCTCGCACCGGGTTCTTCAACACAAGACGCGCAACAAGACAACGAGGTGGTCGTCGTGCCGGGCTCAACGAGTGGAGGAGCGCCACAGCAGTCAGTGAACGTCAAGCGTCCCGCACCGGTC